ATCACAAGTTAATAAATATATAAATATACTTGTGTTTCATTATACAATGAACTTCACATGTTTATAAACATATAATTGTGTTTCATTTTACAATAAACATCACAAGTTTATAAACATATAATTGTTATTCATTATACAATGAACTTCACATGTTTATAATCATATAATTGTGATTCATTTTACAATAAACATCACAAGTTTATAAACATATAATTGTTATTCATTATACAATGAACATCACATGTTTATAAACATATATATAAAATTTTGATTCATTATACAATTAACTTTAGCCGATAATTCTCCGATTCAGGTTTTTTTCACAGTCAATAATTAAAGGCAAAGTAATCACAATATTATTTCCAACATAAAACTTGTCTCCTTTTTTCTCTCTCTCCAATATTTTTTAAAAAATAGATGTTTGAAGTGAGATACACTGTGATCCTTTTTTCCATCCCGTCATAACACGGCCATGTTTTCCAAAAAAGAATACAAACAAGTATAAAATGCACGCGGAACTTGTTTTGTTTCAGCCTCGGGAATCCCAGTATCCCCTACGTAGTACTTCCCCCGACTTTTGTACAATGTTCGTGTGATCAGCTATACTCCAGCAATACCCTCAAAACACAATCTCCGGGCATATATATACTATAAACTTGCTGGCTGAGACTGAATTTTATTTCTTCTATGACAGTTTTACGACCATGTTGAGGATTTGCTGGTTGAGTCAGCCCTGGGTAGTAAAAAGCAGCCTCATTGTACAGTACTTCCAACTAAATCATCATTAAAACGCTACAAAACTTTCCTGTTTTACATATTTCTTTTATTGATGTATTATCTTCAAATGAAATTTTGTATTAAATTTTTTAATATATGTTATGTGATTATTTTATCTTCAATAACACTGTATGTTATTACGATAAACATATGATACATTTCAGTATCGGCCGATACCTTTGTCAAGCGAAGGAAAAATCATATATACCAGTAAATAAATTCATTTAAAAATAAATTCATATTATTGAATTTTGTTATTCTATAATTTAAGGTTATATGCTATATTAAATGCTATTATTGTGATTTGTGTCGGAATTAATGCCCCTGGAACTTTTAATTTGCGTAAGCATTTTACCTAATTATTTAGAAGAATTCCAAATTTGTCAACTCTTGCATTCTTGTGTATTCCTTGCTATTGTCATCAATCTAAATTAATATTGGTAACAATGTGTTTAGAGTGGTGGCCATCTGTTGGATAGGAGGTAAATGTTAGAGTAAGCTAGCTTGGTCTTGGTTTGGTTTTTATTTTGTTTAACGTCCTACTAAATTAATTTAAAAGAAACTTTTTTTTGGGTTACTTTTGAAAAATTGTTCATAAGCTATCAAGGTTACATTTGTATGTAACTGTGTCAACTCATTCACCCCTGGAATTTCATAATTAACTATTCCAACCTTTAAATTGGAATTAAAAGTTCAAATGTGTCTTCAGGGGTAAATGAGTTTAGAAAATTAAAAAGTAGTTGCCACTTCATGTACCTTAGCCACACTTTGGTCGAGTGAACTACTCTTTCTAGTAACTTATTGAATTAAATTGAAATAGTTTTCCATTTGAAGTTTCTATTTTACCTTATACAATAGTTCTTGAATATCGAACCACATCATGACATGACAAGTTACCAAGTTACATATATAACATGAATGGGTAACTCTGGTTAGGCCAAAAAGAATATGTTGGTTTCAGGTAACATGTCTGATGAAGATAAGTCTGTAGGCAAATTCTTTCATCTTAATGTAATTTTTTTTATTTTGGTGAATTAATATTTGCTTTATTTCAAATTGTACCATGCATTTCCACACACTACATTGGCTATTAATTATAATTTGTTAAGAATAAGGTCAAAATCCCAGAACACGAAGAAAGTACACTTCAATGAATGGCTGTGAAGTTTGCCTGACTAATAAATTAATCTTAGATACAAGTAGGTGATAAAATATCTAGGGTCGGCAGTAAAATAGGTGGGGATACCTGAAACACACGTTTTGTTTTTGGCCTTAGCCTGTCGGAGTGACCAGGTCAGGTACATACCACATTACTGTGTCCAGGTTATGTCTTTTTGTTGAGATGGCTCTTTAACTCATTCACCCCTGAAGACACATTTGAACTCTTCCAAATCAAAGGTTGGAATAGTTCATTATGAAATTTCAGGGTGAATGAGTTAACATCTCCACACACATATATTTGCATATAAAGATGCAAAAACCCTTAAAAATAACCCAGAAAAACAGTCATTATTAAAAGATGTGTTCGTCTATGCCTGACCTAGGGTTTTACGTACGGGTAGGTACAAGTTTGTAAGTTCGTTGGTAGGCACAATTTTTTCATTTTACAGATAAAATATATTTACTGGTTCTTTAAAACTGTTTTGTTATTTTGGTTATGTCTTTTTGTTGAGATAGCACACACTTTTACCAAGATGCAAAACCATTAAAAAAAAACACCAGCAAAACACATTAAAATAAAATGCCATGTTCTTCTACACCTAGGATTTTGAGTGCGAGTAGCTAGAAGTATACAAGTTGGTTCGTGGGCACAATTTTTACAAATAAAATGTATTTACTTACTGCATGGTTCTTTAAAACTTATATTTTTGTATTTGGTGAATTCTTTGATATGAATGATGGACACTGTCAGATTTAACCATTGACAACGCCTTAGTTAAAACAGGGATACACCAAACAATCAAACAGACTTACTAGATTTCTGAAATCTAAAACTGATAAAAATAAAATCAAAATTTCAATGAAATATTTAGAGTAGGGACTTTTGTTCAGGTCATTCAGGTTTAGGCAAACCATCAGTATTTATTTTTGTATTTTATTTTTGGCCCTATTTTTAAAATCTGAAGTACAGAGATACATGTATATAGCTATGTTATAACTTCAGTTTAAGGTATTTCTGTGCTGTAGTGTAATCAGCCCACAATCAAAGCATCGGGCATTATAAGTGGGTCGTTTTATATGCAGATATGTATTTATGAGGAGAACTATACGGTATAATTTACCCATTATGGCACCTGACCATGATTATAGATACAATGCACATACAGATATACACATCACGATAATACACAGCAGTGACGAACAGGTACCAATCGCCACCTGTTACATACAATTTTCATCCACCTGATCAAAAATTCCAAAATTAAATATTTTGAAATTTGTGAATAAGATATCGTGAATTTCTCACAACTTGAACAGCTTCTAATTTGCCAGCTACGTGGCTATTTTCCACCAGGCAAGCATCTGGAGGCTTTCTAAAGGATAATACAACAGATAATCATCTACGGATCGATATTTATATCATCTAACATTATCTTACACTAAATAATTATATCTATATAAGGAAAAAATGGTTCCATGAAAATATAAACATAAAGGAGGTTTAACATGTATTTCAAAAGCGTTTAATTAAAACAAGATGCTAAATTTCTTCATTTAAAGTTAAAGCTACCATACACATTATACCTGTGATTTGTGTGAGAGTTAAGGTTGTATGCTACCTTACACATTATACATGTACCTGTGATTTGTGTGAGAGTTAAGAATGTATGCTACCTTACACATTATACCTGTGATTTGTGTGGGAGTTAAGGTTATATGCTACCTTACACATTATACCTGTGGTTTGTGTTAGAGTTAAGGTTGTATGCTACCTTACATATTATACCTGTGATTTGTGGGAGAGTTAAGGTTGTATGCTACCTTACACATTTTACCTGTGATTTGTGTTAGAGGTAAGGCTGTATGCTACCTTACACATTATTCCTGTGATTTGTGTGAGAGTTAAGGTTGTATGCTACCTTACACATTATACCTGTG